CTTTCAGCAAAGTTCTAAGTTAATCGTATTTCAAATCTTGAAGAAGGAGGAGCACCTTCGTAAGATGCATTTTCCGTACTTAGGCAAGGGTGAAGGTTTACCTACAAAATATGAGGAGCTCCAAATATCTTAAAATAACTGACATGAGCATCCAGAGTCAATCACCTATTGAGGTATACTAAGTTCAAAAGGAAAATATATAGTACAACATAATCAAAACGCTGAAAACCATCGTGAGGTGCTCAACACACGATCTTCTGAAAGATGTGAACATGATCTTGTGAAAACATAATCTTGGCAAGTTCTGTAGATCTTTAGATCACAAACTGGAGGGGAAAAAGCTACAAGCCTATCTAAATTTGTTATACTCAGCAACTAGATTTATTTCACAATACTGATCCATCGATCACTAACTGCTACTGCATTAATTCTACATTTTTAGGACTAGTGATCTTGTATGCAGACTCTAGAACATATCTAATCTAGAAATCTCAAGAACACAAGAAGAGCAATAAGAAGCCTCATTTCAGACACTTACAGATGCAGCCAGGAGGGGAGTATATAATTCACATGAGTATTTTTAGAGTGCAAGCAGGCAGCTTACAGCTGGCTATGGGACCCTGGTTATAAACAAATCAAGGGAAAAAAGTTATCGCTATACCAAAATTACCCCCTAATAAAAATATTATAAACAATATCAAAGTCAGGCTGAGTCAGCGCCCCCAGGGTTTTAAGATCTTCAACACTAGTGACGGCTTAAAAAAATAAGCATCAGAAACCATATGTTCGAATATTGTGAAAAGTTTATATTCCTATGTAACTATAGAAACAATCACTTTAAGAGTAAATAGCGCTGTTTATTTTATATCCATCATTAGATTTTAATATAAATATCTTGAAAATAAAAATGTGATAGCTTTTAGAGATGAAAAAATTAAAAACGAAAGAGACCCAAACACGGGACCTGGAACATTAACTTGTCCAGCAAAAGTCGACCATCTAAAACTACATGAGAGTGTAAAACTTCTGTTTCTGGACTTTGATCCAAGCAGTCATAAAATCTCGTCCTCTGTTGCTATCTCCAATTTTGAGTACATGCCAAATACAAGCTTTTGCCTCTTAAAAAACAATGCAGTAAAATGTCAATCAGTTGTCCTGCAATGCTAAGTGATCGAAAACATCACCCACAGTAACTGAAGAAAGGTAACATTATGCTAATTTACCATCAAGAATAACAACAGCTGTTAAAGTGACATTAGCACCAGGAAAGCTTCATTTGCACGTGCATTAGCATTAGAGCCCTTCATTAACACAGTGTGAGGATTTCAAAGTTACCTAGAATAGCAGGGTTGGGTAAGGGTTGTCGGCAGATTTCTTTAGTTTGTAGATAGGCCAATGGCCCATGCTATGCTCGTTCAGCTGACACTCTCAAATTCACATAGACAGGTTTTGATGACTAAAAACCATCTATTTCCCAGTTCTAAGCCACAGTTTTTAACGAAATGCTGCACTCCCTATTTGAAGACAGTTGCAGGACACAATGCAATCTGACAGCAAAACTGCTTTCAAGGTCAACCACAACTCATAGGTGTCTACATGAGATTTTATGCCAAAATTTGCATGTTGTTCAGTGGCTACTAGTGAGTACAGATCCTTCAGTCTAGGGAGAGGACAGAGAAATATGCATGAGTGTTAAACAACAACAATTAAATCGAAGAACGCAGAGCAGCTCCATCAGTAAGCCTGTGTACGGCACAGATGGCCAATCCAAGTGAATCCAAATGTGTTCTAAATCTTAAAACGTGTCAGATGCCTCTATACAACTATTTTGTCTCGTGAGTCTTCTGAATCACATACAGTATTCACTTTACAATTTGAAGTGTAAAATAACGGGAAAACACAAAGTACTGTGAGTTTCTACTTTAAAAAATGTTTTCTAGCTGTAAAGTTAAAAGGTTTGCAGTATTTTTTTTTTACCACAACCTTGTGCATCACAGAGAGTTGAACAGTTTGACATTTTTATCATCATCAACTAATGTCCAGACTCTCATTCTAAGTTTCCAGATAATGCCACCAAATATAAACTCAAAAGTGTAACATTGCTTCCTGAAGAACCTCTGATTGTACACAAGTCTTAGCTTATAGTCATTCCCCTGACAACGTTCAGTACTTTATAAGTCCTAAAATTGAGGCCCTGCACTACTTCAAAATATTTTCTACTTTCATTTTTCAACTGATTTTCAACAAAAATTCTACACACACATACACACACACACACACACACACACACCATAGAAAGTGTTCCTTCTCCTGTCAACATCAACTATAATATAAAAATCCTTAATGGGGCCTCCCTGGTGGTACAAGGGGTTAAGACCCAACCTATGAGGCTGTTCGCAGCCACTGCAGCACCAGTTCCATCCCCAGCCAGGGAGCTGCCCACATGGCACAGCAGACCTCTCCTGTCTCACCCACTGCTCCCCTCAGTAGTGTTCTTAGGTCAATCTGCCTGTTCTGCTCCCTGCGCTGTCTCTGGTGAATCCTCTCAATGCCCCCCCCACCTCTGGCCTGTACCCCAGTTCTTGTATTCATAAATAACTCTTTTTAAAAAAAATCCCTAAATGAAAAGTCTTCTTACCACATCTCAATGATCTCAATTCTATACTACACAGCATAATTTTTAAGAATTAGGATTTTGATACTATGCCACTTGGGTGAAAAAGTAGTATGAAAAGAAATGTAACTCAACACTTTCAATATGTTCCCCCATAAAATGTGACTATACTTTCAATGTTTCGAAAAGCACTGAAATCGACGTGTTCTTATGTATGAATAGTTAAAAACTACCACCAAACAAACCCAAGTTTAAGTCTTGAAAGGGAGAGGGAAGAAAAAAAGAAGAAAAAAAGGCTATTTAAGACGAATTATGAAAGAAACGACTTTTTTTTTTCCTTTGAGCTGTGAATGTGCCTTACACGACAACTCCAAATACTAACCCACACACACTCTCTTAAAAAATTACCCCAGGGCTCTGCCCACTCCCCTTCGTGCGCTCTAATTGCAGGAGGGCGAAAGGTAGAAGGAGACCGGACAGAGCGCCCCACAGTAGCACCCCTAAACCGTGCGCCCTGCACGATCGATAATCACCACCGACTTTGATGCTTTAATATCTCAGCCCTAACTCGCAGAAAAGTGCCTTTGAGAAGAAGCCACTTTCCTTGCGAGGTTTATCCTCTGATGGCTCCAGGTTTAGAATCGTGAAAATGGCAAAAGCGGAGGAAAAGGATTTTAACAGGAAGGCAGAGGAATTACCCAGAGATAAGTTTTATCCCCAAAAAGAGTTGCCTCGGTCAAAACAAAACAAAACAAAACAAAACAAAACAAAACAAAACAAAACAAAGCAAACCCGCCAAAGAGGAACACCATCGACACCAACTCTGGCCGTTCCTTCCTTAATAGAATCAGGGTTTTAAAAAACCCCCAAAGTACTCCATCCACGAGAAAGTAAAGGAAGACAAAAAATGCCACCCACTTCACTGGCACGGAGACCTCGCGCCGCTGGGGTGACCCCAAGCTCCCTCACCCGCACCCCTGGTCCCCGCCGCGCCCCCGAGGAAGGGGCAAGAGGTAGATGCCCAAGAAAGTACCTTGTTTTGTCTCCAAAGGGCAACATAGCAAAGGTGGGGATCCAGGTGCAGATCACGCGGCCGCGGACGACCGTGGACTCCCGGAGGCGCAGGGGGCGAGGACGTGCCCAGGTGAGGCGGGCGACTGGGAGCCGGCTCCCCGCGGGCCCCCACCTCGCCGCCGCCCGCTCGCCCCAAGCTGCGCCGCCCCCTGGCGGGGAGCACCGGGCAGAGGTGCGCGCGGGCCGGTGCAAGCCCAGCGCCCAGCCCCGGCCCCGGGCTTCCTCACCATCACCGCCCAGCGCGCGCCTCCCTGACTGCCCCGGCGGCCAGCGCCGGCCGCCCCACGGCCACTGCCCGGAGCCCGCAGCGGGTTCCGGCCGCTTCTCCAAAGGGACGCGCCCCAGAGTCACCCGCGATGCGCGCAGCAGCCCTGCCCGCGCCCGGGCATCGCACCAACTCCGGCTCTGGGAAACCCGCCTGACGCGCGCTCTCCGCCCCACCCTCCGCGTCCCCGGGCTCCAGCCTCAAGTCCTCCCCAACTCTCGGGTGAGCGGTTCCCACGCGCGCCCCGAGTTCCCGTTGCGCCCCCGCCTCCCAAAGGTCAGGCCGGCTCCTCCCAGCCCTCCGCCCGGGTGCCTGGCTCCGGACCAGGAAAAACTGGCCTCTGGGGTCGGCTGGGGCCAAGCGGGACCCGCCACCCCTCAGGGTCCGGGTCGCTCCCCTCGCGCCTTCCCCGCGCCCTTTGTGTGCGCCGCGAGCCCCACCGCGCAGCCCTTTCCGAGGCACCGCCTGGGGCGCAGGAGGCGCGCGGGACAATCAGGGGACCCAAGGGGGCAGGAGGCTACGGCACTCACTCTGGGAAGGCTCCGGCATGTTGCAGCCTTGGGGCGTCCTCGTGGTCTCGCCCCATCCCCGGCTTCCCCGCCCCGCTAGGGCCGAGACGTGGGCGCACGGGGGAGGAGCGCAGCGCTGGGACCCAGTTGGACACGGTGCTTCCGGAGCCGCAGGGAAGGGGCTCGCGAACTGTTTTGGTTTCGCTAAGGAGTTTGGGGGGAGCCTGGAGAGGGCAGGAGAGCTAGAGGAAGGCCCGGGAGCGCAGATGTCTGCAAAGAATCCTGCTCCCAGGGAACCCCAAGGCGGCTGGGGTTGTGGGGGGGTCGGCACGCACATTTTACATTTGAACTCTGTGAGCCAGCGGAATCGAATCCGACGCTTGGGGCTTGTCGACTCCAGTCGAGACCAATACACCGAGACTGGACCCGAGACCCGGGCAGAGCCAAGGGCCGGGGACCGACGCGGTTCCATGGTGGCCGGGGAACATTGCATAGGGAGCAGAGATCCGCCCCAGGTCTTTCGCCGTCCGCTGCTTACCTGGTGGCTTTCCTAACAAAGTAAGAGAAGGTGAAGTCCCAGTGGTCGTCCAGCCACGCTTCCACCGAGTCCTGGTCCCGCGGCCGCTGCGGCTGCCCCGCGCGCTCCATGCCCCGCGCCGCGCGCTCTGCCGCCGGCGGGCGCTCGCCTCTGCCCCAGCCGGGGTCTCTCCCTGGGAGGGGCAGGACTCTGCCTCGAGACCCTCCCCCTTCTCTGGCTCCCAGCGGGGGTGCTCCGGCAGCGGGCCAGCCTCCAGCTGCGCCCCGCCGTTCCAGGTCCGCGGGGTTCCCAGGTGGGGCGGCTGCGCCCTCCCCGGGGTGGCGCGGGGGCCGGCTGCGGCAGGGTCTCCGGCACCCGGGTTCCAAGGCGGCGGCTGGGGTGACCCGCCAGCTCTCCGGAAGCCCAGTGGCCACGGCGGGGAGCAGCCGTGGGGGGAGGCCGCTGGGGTGCGCTGTGCGCCGAGCCGGCTCCAGGGGGACGCTCAGAGACGACTGTGGGTGTGTTCCAAGTGATCCCCCGGTAGGAAGAGGGAAATCGCGCCGTGGGGGACCCATCCCAAGTCCAGAGGGCGGGGGCTGGGAGAAGAGTCGCCTGGAAGCTGCGCGTCCTCAGGCCTCTGAGAACAATGACGGTCGCGCCTCGCTTTTCCGGCAGCGCAGCTGGCCTCGGAGCCGCTGGGGCGACCTGCCGCGGAGCTCACGCAGCCAGGGGGTCAGAGCACCCCAGACACAGACCGCGCCCATGCGGAGTTGGGGTGCATGCCACCGGGACAGATTTGGGGTTTGGCTGGGTAACTGCCAACCCAGCAGTGCGTAATATTCATGATAATGATTCCTGACTTTGTAGATTAAGTGCCTTTGCATCAAACACCTCCTTTTCGTGACTGGGAAAAGGTTTCTTGGAAGAAAAGGGTAAACTAAAACAATCACGATGGTTTTTGTACAAAGTCAAGCACAGGCCCCCTCTGCACCGTCCGGGTAACTTGGCAGCACCTGTGCCACCGCGGGCAGAGCGGAGCAGCCTCGTGGCCCACGTCTAAACTGATATTTAATCATTTATTGTCACTGGAATTAACACATACAAACACTGGGATTAACACGCGCGCACACACACACACACACACACACACACACAACCACCCCCCACCTCCTCTGTCCCCTGGGCCTTTGCTCCAATACAGAATTGGTGTCTTTGCCACTATTTGCTCCCTATTAGCACTTTTACCCAGGTATTTTGCAATGACCTACTTTTGGGGCAGAATTAAATTTGGAATTGTATGTTTCACCATGTGGGAAGGACACCCTGAGCAATGATATTCAAAAGTGATGCAGCAGACACACTTTGAACAAGGTCCTTTCCAAATATTCTTGGCAAGAATCGAAGACATTACTAGTGAATTCAAAACACAGAATTGATAACATGAGAACTTTCTAAAATGTCTTTCATTGCCTTAATGCAAACGGTTTCTCTCTCCTGCATTAAAGAATTGTCCTTTTGGAACATCAGTTTCCCTGAAATTTGACAGTTGGTATACAAGGGGCCACGAAAAATAAAAAGTGAGGGACCCAGTAGCAGGAGCATATGGAGATGCAAGACACTTTTTATCTGTTAATAAAATATTAGAGTTCTCTTCCAGTTTGCTACTATGATAGTGATTACAGAGTTCAATAATAGAAACAGACTTTGTCCTGAGGGTTCAGTTTTTCCCTATAGAAATCTATGCATTTCTTCTAACAGGGACAATCATTATGTCAAAGTTTACTTACCTACTAGAAGGTGGAGTGAAATTTAGGTTGGAATAGGTTGCTTTGGTAGGCTAGCAAAATTAAATAAACAGTCATTGTCCATTAGCCCATTTTCTCGCCTAACATTAAAGGGTTAAATGATCAGAAATCGAGAAGGTTTCTGAAAAATTACTATGAGAAAAACAATCGACAGTTTGTCCCAACAGTGAGCTTCAATCCTGAGGAGTATAGATGGTGGATTGGAGGTTATTGGCGAGGCCTATTATCTGAGCTTATCAGAGGGACTGGAGGTGTTTGAAACTTTTAGTCTCTGGAAAACTCAAATAAAATTTGTAATAATACCTCTTGTAACTGGAAAGCACTTAAAGGTAAGCATATCTTGAACTGCTATCATCTTGGCTCTTTAACTGATTGGCGTACATTGATAAACACCCCAAATCTTGTTTTAGAAAGAGTAAATAATAATCATTGCCAGGAAACGTGAAAAATGCTGCTAATGCGATTTACAACAAACGAAGATGTAATGACTTAGTAGAAATCCCCCGCAATGAATTCCCACTGTACTACAATAAAATCCAAACTCTCTGAGATAGTTTATAAGCTTCTGTATGATTTGACTTTTCTCTACTTCTACTGTTAAGGCTTTGATCACACACACACACACACACACACACCCCACCCACCACCACCCACCCATGGATGGTCAAATTCCTCTTCCAAAAAAGAGAAAACAAACAGCCAAGAGTCATGGCACTGCTCCTGCTTTGCCTTGTTGTTGTTTTTAAATACTATCCACTAACTTTTGTTCCCTTGCAGAAATCCTGTAATACAAAAGCAAAAAGTACACCAAACAATTTAATTCCAATAAGTTCAGCAATTTAAATGAAACCAATTAACTTATTTGGGGAAAAAAACTGATATAAAATGAAATGGGAATTTTACTGAAATAGAATTCATTTATGCATTGACTTTTTTTTTTTTTTTTGTAAAGAGGCATGTATTTTTTATTTATTTATTTGTTTGGTTTTTGTTTATTACATGCACTGGGTACAGTCAGAAGCGCGGGAGGGTGAGAGAATTCACCAGAGCCAGAGCAGGGAGCAGAGCAGGCAGAAGGAACCGAAGTACACTGCTGAGGGGAGCAGCGGGCGGCAGGAGAGGTCTGCACGCCCTGTGGGACCCTCCTCCGGTGGCCGTGGCCGGGGAGCAGCCGGGGATCGAACCGGCGCCGCAGAGGCCGTGGGCAGCTTCACAACCCAGTGCTCAACTGCTGCACCACCGGGGAGGCCCAGACTTTTTTTTTTTTTTTTTTTTTAAGCTAGGTGACTTAAACTACTGCAGCATGGGTTTGAGCCCAGTCAGCCAAGAAATACCCACATGGTGCGGCAGACCTCTCCTGTCTTGCCCGCTGCTCCCTCAGCAGTGTATTTCGGTCACTCTGTCTGTTCTGTTCCCTGCTCTGACTCTGGTGACTCCTCTCACTCTCCCTCACATCTGGCCTGTATCCCGGTTCTTGTATGCATCAATAAATAAATCTTTAAAAAATAAACATTAAATAATACAACAAAAATACTGAACTGGACAAAGAAAAAAGCCACAATAGTAAAAAATGACACAGATATTAAAATAATATCCCTGGTAGAGGTATAAAATCTTTCTAACTATCTTCATACATAGTTGTAAAATTAAATCCAACAATATTATATAGTGCCCCAGAAACCAATTTCCAAAAGGGTTATGGGTATTTCTCTACACCTAGTAATTCTCTGACACCTGCAAGATCACTATCTACCTAGAGATAGTGCTCGATTCTATAGGTTAAAGGTTCAGTTTCCCAATAACATCATGTACTTCAGACTGGCTGCCATCTGGGCTTCTGACCAATGGGCAATAGGTTGGAAATCTCCACAATATCCTGCTCAGAAATTCTGCAGCCAGTCCCAAACCTAGGTTGTTACCTTGTAGCTAGCTGGTTATAAAACAAATGTGCCCAGGATCCCCTTCTTAGATTAGATTAATTTGCATAGAACACTGTATTTCTGCATACAAATATTCGGTACTGAATTGCTTGCCCTCAAAATTCTTGTGGAAACCCTAACCCCAGAGCCTTAGAATATGCCTGTATCAAAATATAGGGCCTTTAAGAGATATTAAGGCTAGATGAAGTCATATGGGCATGCTCTAATTCAATCTGACTGATGTCCTCATAAGAAAAAATGTGCACACACAAAAAGGACATAAGAAAATGTGAACATCTATGTGAAGAGGCAACCAGAGTAAGTGATCTGCAAGCCAAAGAGAGGCTTTAAAGACACAGGAAAACATGTTCTCAATTTGGGAGTAGGCAGTGATATCTTAGCAGGAGACAGAAATTAACATAGTGACTGATGCAGGAGAAAAAAAAAAAAACCTACACCAAAAAAAAAAAAAAAAAAAAATCCAACTAGATTTTACCAAAATCTGCTCTTAAAAGAAATTACTAAGAAGAAAAATCAAGACTAGAAGAATCTATTTGTAAAGTATGTATCTGAAAAACAAATATCCAAAATATATAAAGAACTTCCACAAGTCTATAATAAAAAGACAAACACCCAAGGTGGGAAAATTGGCAAAAGAATTGAGCAGATACTTCAGAAAGGAAGGCCCTTGAATGGCCACTCAGCACATGTAAACATGCTCAACAATATTAGTCTTCAGGAAACTGCTAATTAAACCACAGTGAGAGATACTTCCACCACCTTCTGGAATTGTGAGAGTCAAGGCTAACGATATCAAATGCTGTTTGGTGTTGGATATATGGTGATCCTATCTGGAGTACATTGTTAGAGAGTTAAGATGGTCCGAGCACTTTGGAAAATAGGTTTTGTGAAGAAGGTTGGTGAATTTTAACATATTCAAGTAATCGATTACTACTCAGCAATAAAAAGGAATGACAAAAATAAATATTTTGAAAATTGAGAAGGAAGGGACAATACCAAACACGTTCTATGAAGCCAATATTACACTAATACCAAAACCGAATAAGGACAGCACAAAAAAGGAAAACTATAGGCCAATCTCCCTAATGAACACTGATGCAAAAATCCTCAATAAAATTTTAGCTATCAGAATCCAACAATGTATCCATAAGATAATTCACCACGACCAAGTTGGATTCATTCCAGGGGCACAAGGATGGTTTAACATCCGAAAATCAATCAACGTTATCCAACACATCAACAAAAAGAAATATAAAAACCATATGATAATATCAATAGATGCTGAGAAAGCTTTCGACAAAGTGCAACACCCATTCATGATAAAAGCCCTTGAAATTCTTGGGATACAAGGAACATACCTCAACATCATAAAGGCCATCTATGACAAGCCAACAGCCAGTA